TGTCCCTGTGCAAAAAGCCAGGCAGTCTGAGGACCCCTGGACACTTCAGTATGGTCTCATATCATTACAGACTCCTTGGGAGGGCTCAGACAGGGCTCTGCCATGGAGCTGTACCCTGTCCAGCATAAAAACACTGTGTATGCAGCACTGCCTGCCATCGGGTCTGTGCATCAGGGCACCATGCACAGGGCATCCCCTCCCACGGGGACAAGAAAAATTCAATATCTGCATATCTTCCAGAAAAGCCGTTCTGCACTTACAAGAGGGCTTAATTCCAAAGTGCCCAAGAGTTCCCGCTGCAGTCACAGCTCCCAGACCTAGGGAAAGCCCAGCACAGACAGGAGAAAAAACTATCTAGGAACAGCAGCAGAAACTTGTAATGGAGGGGACTGTCACGAGGACAAACTCCTGCAGGCAGACACACCACCCTTCAGTGCAGTGGAGAAGAGCTGGTCAGGCTGTCCTTGCTGCAGCACTGTGTTTGGATGCTGGCACTGGAACAGTGACAGTGGGACAGTGCCAGGCTGTGCCCACCCCAAGGACCCTGTACAGAGCAAGGAATGGGCTGGCAATACCTCTTGGATAGTGGATGTGCAAACCATCCCTGTGTCCCTGTTTCTTTCCACAGCCGTGCTCATCCCCACGTTCCTCCGGCACTGCCCAGGTCACCCAGACCTCCTCACCTCGCCTGTCCTGTCCCGGGCACCCTGCCACCAGGCCACCCGCCCCGCAGCTGCCAGCCCAGCGCCCCTGGGGCTCCAGTTACAGCCCTATAAAGGGAGCTGGGGTGCAGAGGCGGGAGGGAGCTGTGCTGGGTGCTTCGCAGCCCTGCGTCCATGGGGAGCGGTGCCTTCATCCTGGTCCTCATCCTGGCCCTGGCAGCATGTGTGGCCCCTGCGGAGAGGAAGGTACGGGGATGGATGGTGATGGGGATGTGGCAGACATGGCACTGGGATGCAGCGTGGGCAGCCAGGGGTTCTCTCTTAAAGGCCATTTTAGGCTGGGACAAGCAGGAGAACTTTGCAAGCACCTAGTCCAGGCAACAGGCAGGGTATCTCTGGGTCACCCTCAGCCACCTGGTACCACCTCCACAAAGCCTTGCTCCCACAGGGCACCACGCACACAGCATTCCCTCCCACGGGATATGTATCTGGGACACCATGAATGGGGCATCCCTTCCAAGGGTCTGTGTCTGGGCATACAGTGCACAGGGCATCCCCTCCCATGGGGATCTGTGTCTGGGCATATCATGCATGCTGACAGGCTCGGACGTGCTGGACTTGCTTCACTGTTCATTCAGCAGCCAGCAGCACCTGGAGGAGCTTTTCCCCAAACTTGGGACAGGGACAGCCATGCCCCACAGTTGTACTTGCAGCAGGGCCTGTGGCTCCAGCCGTGGGGTGATGGGAGGGATGGGGTCCCCCTCTGTGTCGTGCACGGAGGTAGAAGGCCCGTGGCCATGTCCCTTCAGTGCCAGCTCAGCGGGCTGTGGAGGAATGAGCAGGACTCACTGATGGAGATTTCGACGGTGAGGGACGACGGGGACTTCCAGGGCAAATACCTCACACGGGTCACCCTTGCTGGTGGCTGTGCCTGTGCCTCCCCCCTGAGGGGTGCCCAGCAGCAGCCCGGCGAGGGGGGCTGGCCCACATTCGCCTTCACCGTGCGCTGGGACAAGTTCTCCAGTAAGTGCTGGCACAAGTGGGGATGGCACTGAGGTGGCACTGGGAGCCAAGCAGGCAGCCAGCAGGATTTTTCTTCTGCTGGGTGATGCTTTGGCACAACTAAGCAGAGGGAAGCTGTTGCAACAGCCCAGAGTGGGGCTAACGGGCAATGCTGAGCTCGCATGGAGCAGCCTCTCCTCACCCAGCATCCTTGCACCCATCCCTGCTGGGCAGCCCAAGGTGACCATAGTGGGTCCGGACCCTGTTAGGGCACGGGGGATGCAGGGCTGCAGACCCTGCCTTGCCTGAGGGAGCTGCTGGGGAAGGGCAGGTCCCCCCAGCATGAGTTGGGTGGGTGCATGGCTGTTGGAGCAGGTACACAGCTGCAGCTGGGAGGACCTCGGTGAGGGGGAAGCACACAGTGAGTGTGTGTGCCGTCCCCACTGACCCTCTACCAAGTGCTTCTTCCAGATGCCACCACCGCCTTTGTGGGGCAGTGCTTCGTGGACACAGGTGGAAAGGAGACGCTGACCACCATGTGGCTGCTGCGTGAAGCTGTCGGGTCCCTCGAGGAGGACTGGAAAGCCACAAGGTAGTGGGGGGATTTGGGGGCAGCAGCCCCACAGACGGGCTCTCCCCAGGACCCTTGAGGACGAGCATCCCCCTGGGTGAGGGGACCACCTCTGGGAACTCGCCAGCGTGGGTTTACAGTGGGGACGCCAATGCCTTCTGGCAAGGGTCTTGCCCTGGCCAGGGGCATCCAGCAGCTGCTTGAGGCAAGTTGGGGGGCACTTAGGGGCACCCCTGTCACCTGCCGGCACTGGCAGTCCTGGGTGGGCAGTGTCTGCCAGTCGTTCCACAGGAACTCTTTGCTTCTAAATCTAAAGAGGGTAGATTTAGATTAGATATAGATTTAGATTTAGAGGGTAGATTTAGAGGGAAGGTTTAGATTAGATATCAGGAAGAAATTCTTCACTGTGAGGGTGGTGAGACGCTGGCACAGGTTGCCCAGAGGAGCTGTGGATGCCCCATCCCTGGAAGTGTTCAAGGCCATGTTGGATGGGGCTTTGAGCAACCTGGTCTGGTGGAAGGTGTCCCTGCCCACGGCAGGGGGGTGGGAAGTGGATGGTCTTTAAGGTCCCTTCCAACCAAGCCATTCTAATTCTATGATTCCCACAGGGTGGGCAGAAACATCTTCACACGCAAACGCACCCGAAAAGCAAAGATCCTGCCAAGCTTGTCTCCATGCTGTGAGGATGCATCTTCACTCACCCCATGACAGCATGTTCTGGCTGCAGTCCAGCCCCGCCAAGGCAAGCAAAACCAGCCTCTGACCTAAAAATAAAATTTAAGTGTCAAGTCAGCGGTGGTCATATTCTTTTAAAAAACTCCGTTGGCTCCCCCTCTAAGGCAGCTTCCGTCCCCACGGGTACCCCTGCAGAGGTGAGAGCTCACCACTACCCCTCCCCAGGGACATCTGGAACCCTCCCTGGTTACCCCCATTCAGCTCCCTGCACTTATTTCCCACCTCACGCTAACCCAAACTTCAACCCTGCGCCATCACTCCCTGCCTGCCTGGCAGAGGTGGCATCAGCATCCTGAATCCAGCCACCTTCCTTGCTGTGCCTTCACGCCCATCCCCACCATAAGCCTTTGTAGTCCCAGGACTCTGTGCTCCATAGGGTTGGGTGATGGAGGTAATGGTATCAGTAGATATGAGATGTTGGTAAAGCACTTCCTTTGCACTGCATGGCACCCGAAGTAGAATGTGCATGGTTAAAGGCCCCATCTCATCATATCCCATCGCACCCCATCACAGTCCATCCCATCCCATTCCATCACAGTCTATCCCATCCCATCACATCCCCCTGTGTTACCATCAGGGATTTTACCCTTCTCTGCCACTGCATTTCGGCAGTGCCACTCTATCTGCCTCTGTGGACACCTGCCAAGCTTAGTCAGCTCTTTCGATGCAAAGTTTTTGGCAGGCCCATGGATGAAGACAAAGCCTCTTGCAGAAGTCTTACAAATATAACCCAGCCTCGGGGATGCCAGCACACTAGCTGTACCGTCCATCGAGCCTGGCCCAGCCCCAACGGGGCTGGTGCGTGCTGCTGGGACATGGAGTGGTGGCTGCTACCTCCCTGGCACCTCAAACAGGGCAGCTTGTCCCTGCCAAACAGCACAGAAAAGCAGGGGCTGATGTCAGGCTGAAAGGATGGTGCATGGCATCCAGGGCAAGAGCAAGAGGTTCCCTGGGGTGGAATTTCTCATGCTGCTATGATAAGCCTGTGAGTTTGGGACTGTAAAAGGTGATAAGGAGGAGTGATGTCTTAAAAGAGGAGTGGTTTCCACTTACCCCAACCTTTGGGACCAGCTGGACCAGAGGGAGAGGCACTGAGCAGCAGCAGTAGTAATAGGGTCCTGGGATGTGCTGGGGCTAGTGGTGGGCCCTGACCGGTGGGCTCTGACTCCCCCACCCCCAGTGCACACACCACAGCCCTGCTGCCATCCAGCACCCCAAACACTGCTGTCCTGGAAACAGTATGTGCTTATGCAGCTGAATCCCACCTTAATTTTCGGTTGCCCACAGCCCCATGCCTACTCCAGGCACTGCAGAGGGCAGAGAAGCAGCTCAGGGACAGTGCACACTGTTCCGTACATCCAGAGCCCCTAAGAGCAGCAAATATAAGGAAGAGGTGCAAATACAAGGCTGGTTAGCATGCTGGGTGTGTTTAGCAAACACATTCGCTTGGACACCAGTGACCCTCGGTGGTTATTTCTCCATCAAATTCTTGTAAAAACAAAAGCAGCCAAATTACCAGCTGATATCCAGAAGATGCTGGGGGAATACTATTGCTGATAAAACAGAAGGCAGGGTGAGCCTTCCCTCCCGTGCAACGTTGCAGTTGCTGCAGCCTGCCTCTGCCAGGGATGCCCTGGCACCACATGGGTGACACCCTGGTCAGGCAGCAGCACCAGCAAAGCAAGGAGTGGTTAAATGTTTAAATAGGTAATAATTTCCAGCCTGCATGCACAGGAGTCAGATTCCCAAGGAGGGTAGCTGATGCTTTCCAGGCTGCTCTAAGGTCTTTAAAAAAAGCCTGAGCCTCTGTCTCTTTCCACAGCTGTGCTCATCCCCACGTTCCTCCGGCACTGCCCAGGTCACCCAGACCTCCTCACCTCGCCTGTCCTGTCCCGGGCACCCTGCCACCAGGCCACCCGCCCCGCAGCTGCCAGCCCAGTGCCCATGGGGCTCCAGTTACAGCCCTATAAAGGGAGCTGGGGTGCGGGAGCGGGAGGGAGCCGTGCTGAGTGCTTCGCAGCCCTGTGTCCATGGGGAGCGGTGCCTTCATCCTGGTCCTCACCCTGGCCCTGGCAGGATGCGTGGTACCTGCAGAGAGAAAGGTACGGGATGTGGCAGCAATGGGGATGTGGTGCTGGCACCCTGTTAGACCCCAAAGGCTGCTGCTGGGGCTGCAGTGCTCAGCAGGGAGCAGGACTGGGCTGCGTGAGCTGGTGGGACTAGCACTGTACAGTGCTGAGGGAAGCTGCAGAGCGGTTGGGAGCGAGGGACTGCACCTGCAAGGATGCTCCTTGCTGTGGGAATCCATCCAGAGACAGGCAAGCAGAGCCACACCCCAGAGAAATCCCATTTTCCCACCAAGCAGTGCACCCTCTGCTTTAGCATGGGGAGGACCTGCTCTCCTCTGGGTGGTAGCAGCAAATAGCCCAGAGCACTGGTTGGGCTGAAGGCAATCAGTGCCATGGGTGCAATGCTGATGCCAAGGTGGTGATGCTGGTGGCACCATCTTCACACAGGGTCCGTGGCACATCCCCCATTGTTGCAGGCATCCCTGGGCAGAGCCAGGGTGGTGGGGCAGGGGCAGGAGCAGGATCCCCTACCCCCCCGCCTGGCTGGGCACCCTAAGCCACAGTGCTGACCTTGCAGTGCCTCCTCTCCGGGTCGTGGCGGAGTGACACTGGCTGCCGGATGGTCGTGTCTGTCCTTGGCAAGGGCGGCAGATTCTCCGGTTCCTACCTGCCAGGACCTGCTGCTGGGAACTCCGAAATCCTCACCTCGCCACTGGAGGGGTCCCAGCAGAACACAGGGCTGGTCCTGCAGCCCACCTTCTCCTTCACCGTGCACTGGCGGCTGCGAGGTAGGCAGGAGGGGGACATCACCCTGCAGCAGGGATGCCAGGGGGGGGCAGGGGGGAGGTTCCTCGCTTTCCCCCCAC